GCGATTTCTTGCAAACTTTCAGCATCTTTAGGGTGAAGTATCTTCTAAACCTAAAGCATTTTTCAAATTCATTCTTGTTTCACTTTGGAACATACGATTTTTTAAAGGAGTGAGGGCAATTTAGTACCCCCCATCCATTAGCAATTTGTAATAATACAAAATTATAGAACTTTTCGCAAATAAACTACCTTATCCAATGGTGCAGCAGATAACAGATAACAGAACAACTGCCTTTAGCCGTTCGAAATTTGTATTTATAGGCTTGCTCAACTTTGGGGTTTATTTATTGCAACTGATTGTTTGACCTGAGTTTTTAATCACAAAATATCGTAGGCTTAAAGCTAAAAGTGACCAAGTCTAAAATATCTATTTTTGGTAAATGCACTTTTAAACCGAGCCAAAAATTATCTCAGAATCCTTTTATAAACTTGGTTATTAAAAACATATTTTAGTGTATCTGTTTGTGTGGCCTTGGGGGACTTAGTCAGCTTTTGAAGACAAATATATAATTTTTTTAAATTACTTGGTCAACAAACACAAAAACGGCAATTTTGGACTTGGTCACTTTTAGCTTTAAACCCACGATATTTGTTTATTCGAACATGTAAAACATGTTTGGTGGCAATAGAAACTTTTCTGCCAAGTGCAAAAGTTTTGTTTCTTGTAAATATTTCAGTTTGAGAGAGAAACACCTAATAATCTTTATGTCTTTACTATCTAAAGCCTTTTCTAGAATTATTTGTTTTGTATAAAATATTAAAAATTGAACTACTTTTCAAAAGACTTTCGTTCTGCTGGGTAAAGATAATGTAAGTTTCTTGTGAGTACTAAATTTGCGCTTTAGGCAAAAAAGAACATTTTCACGATAAAATTTGAAACATTTAATTCAATCAAATTGAGTTCAGATATATAGTGGTTAAGTTAGTTAAAGTAGGCAAATATTGAAATCGTTGTTGCAAATGTGACCCAAATAACGGATGTTCCAAAATGCATCAAAGAACCCCAATTTTTACGTACCTGTTGTTGGTGGTGTCTTTCGTTCTTGTCGGCCCCATTTGATTCGCCATACCAATTTTCTCGGAAAGTGTACAGATCTAATGAATCTTCGCGTGCTGGAAGTTCGGAAAGGGATGCTGAAGGGCTGTACCAAAAGGATCCAGGCCCCTCACCTGGAGCACCGTAATGCAGATTAGTAAAGCTGCCATTATGTACACAATTTTCTACTTCTATGTGGGCACCTAAGCTTATGTCTCTGAGTAAACTACCGCTACATTTATTTACATCTAGTTTATATTGCTGTTGCGACTGATGGCCTTCTTTATGATAGTGGGACATGAGTCGTTCGTTGGCAATCCACGTGAGCTCTTTCTTTCCTCGCATGTCTTCTTCATCTTTTTTCTCAAGTTCTAGTCTCATCAGAGTATGGATAAAGTGAGTTCGCACCCTCACGGGATTGAACTCAATTCGACCGGTCGAGTTTCCACAATTATCTCTCGTACAACCACATGGGAAATTCAATCGATCAACCTGGCATTTAATGCCGGCTTGACTACACGAACAAGTATCCGGATCACAGTAACCTTTACATCCACAGCCACAGAATTCGCGAGAAGAACGAATCGTTCTACATTCATCCTTTTCGAGCGAATCTATCTTTCTTACACCTGCTGCTCTCAGAAGAATTCTTCTTTGTCGAGCTGGTACGGGTTGAAGAAAGTAAAAGTTATCCAAGTCCATTTCAGATTCTGACGTATCACTTATTTCAGCTTCACTATCACTTTCTTCGCTGGATGAAGCAGCGGGGGCACCGGACACATTTCGTTCAGATCTGAAAACGAACATTTCCAATTAGCTTCGAAATTACGTTGGTAGTTTTYGTAMTTTTAAACCAGACTCTCCAACATTTTGTAGGGAAGAAAATACTTTATAAAACGAAGAATAACCATTACAATGAARCAGAAAAAWWTGATCTTTTAATATGKCCAAAGTGCTACTTGGCACAATATAAATGTGTGAAAAATTGTTTATATGATAGAGGAATATATGACTTCACGACTAAGGAAGAAAGAAAGAAAATTCTAATAAATTACCAAGATTAAATTTTTGTGTGGCCCATTTGACTCTTTATCTCACCAGAAAATACATTATTATAGTACAAATTTCGCTAAGATAATGTTTCAAGTCGACCAAATTTTAAAATTAGTTTTGCCTTGATTAATTAGTGCCTAAAAGAGTTACGGATCAAACTTGTTTTTTTTTYTAATTRGACAAGTTATAATAATTAAATATTTTAAAAGAACATATGAACTCACATTATGTGATTGACAAAATTTAAAAAAAACATTACCAAAAAAGTGATGACGTTACTAAATAAATTATTTTACCATTTAATRCAAGTTTTATTTGAGTTTCAAAGTTAAGTAACTTTTAAATTTAAATTWAAAAAAGACAAGTTCGGCATGTACCAAATTTTTATTGGAACACTTGAACTATTTTTTTGAAGTTTAAATTAATTTTATAATGCGGCCCTTACCGATCTGTATGTTACTTACTCAAAATCGGATTATAAATACAAATAATTAATTAATTTCGCATAAAGGGGGYCACTCTATGTTTCTCGCTATTGGARTAAAGTATTTCTGAAGTAAAATTACGATTCATCCGTAAGGRAAACATGACCAGAAAATCTGTTGTTTTTCAATTAACATTTAAAAAAATCTAATCGCTTTTYTYCTTCTRAAAGCAATTCTTTGGTGAATGATACATAAAACGTTWAATGCAATAAAAATAAAGAGTTTACAAAAAARRTKATCTAAATCTYACTTTAGTTGTTGAAGAAGTTGTCGATGTATCCTGCGTTGTTCGTTTGCATGCTCCAATAGAGAAAACTTTCTGACTTGGGAATGGTGCGAGCTCATTCCCAATGTAGATCCTCCTTGAGACGGAACGCAAGTAAAGCCTTGAGTTCGTGGAAAATAAAATACGGTAACACTATCGAAACTGATTCCTCGTTTTTTCTTCACTTTGGCAGGAGTTCCTTCGTCGTCCGTGGATATTTTCCGTTTAAGACTGCTTTTTGTCGGTTTTTTATCAAGGTTTATCTCCAGTGGATGGACTGGCGGACTGGTTTCGTCCTCTCCGCCATGATTTGATGATGACGCTTTATTTATGCGATCTAAAATTTAAAACAATTCGTTAATAAATTTGTACAACATAATAAACAGGAAACAGAAATACAAAGAAATGTACTTTGGCATTTTTCAAACATTTACGTTAACTTTATAATAGTACCTATAGATATCAGTGCGCTATGCAAAAATAAATGATCTTATTTCATGTCAGCATAAAAATAAGTGTATTGTAGAAGTGCGCTTTCAATCGCCTTTATTTTTTTTACTACAACATTATAAAAATTTAATTTGATTTTCAAAAATAAGATTGTTTTTCAGACATTGAACGGAAAATTTAAGAAGTTTGCTTGGGTTTTTAAATAAATTTGCAGTGAAGAAATAGACTGTTTTAAAGGCTAATTGTTCTTGCGGAATTGTTTAAATCTTAGCGCCTTGCAGCTCATGAACACTATTTTTATTCAGTCGGGAAAATTGCAAACTGTACCAGTGGGACGTGAAATCAAGATTGTCTGCACATATAAATACGGCTAAAAACCTCTTTAGTGGACATGGTAAATTGTAAAATTATTATTAAATTTCGGGTTCCAACTTTTTAGAAGTAGGAAATTCGGATAAAATCTAGTTTGTGCTCTCTAACAAAAATAAATTAAGGCTGAACGATTTTCCTCAAACCGTTCTCGTTCTTGCTTCTAACATTTAAAAGGTTAGAAATGTCCGATTAAATCTAATTAATAAAATACAATTCTCGATTTCTGTCGACAAAATTATTGCAGCTGAGCTGTTTTTGAGATAGCTACGGTTTTTTTTAATGTGCAAATTTTGCTTCTAGCCTTTTAAAGCTTGAAAACGTCTGATAAAACCTATTTACTGCAATACTCTGTTCTAGTTCTTCTTCAATAAAAGTAATATTTAATATAAATGAATTTATAATAATAAAAGTCTTCACTCAATAAAAACATAAAAAAGATAGGTGAAAGAAACGTGGCTGAGATAGCTATTTTACACCGTGACAATATCTTTAAATTCTTAAATTTTTGCTTCTTACTTTTTAACGGGTTTTTTTTCAGAGTCGCTTTATGGAAATAATTATTACATCTGAACCATTTTTGAGATATGCTCCTTTAAATACTGACAACTTCTTAAATTTTCGCATTTTAGCGCATATTTTTTCAAAGGTTTTCATAAACATAATTATAGAAATAATAATATAAAAGAAATATTCAAGCACTTCTAATAAAATCTAATTTGAGGTAAGTATGCTAGATTTTTTATACCCTTTTTGAGATAGCTCTTTTAAAAACCGCATTTGTACATTTATTATTCAAGCTTACAAGAAATTACTAATTTCTGACTTCATCGAAAAAATATTGTTTGACCTCATTGATATTCTTTTGCGATCGAACAGGTCACTACCAATATTTACAGGCGTTTCGAAGATATATATAACTTTCAAAAATCTGATGGCTTTTTTACAGAGCAGAGTCCTGCTTGTGAGGCTCCCATTTAAGAGCAAAGTACATGATTGTTAATTTACATTTTAGATATAAAATACTTTAAATATTTGAAGTTTAAATGGGGCTGCTTTAATTTTTATCTTACAGAAAAAAACATCGTTTTCGATGCACTCTTATGCTTAAAAGCTTTGTCGCACGAAAAGAGAAAGAAATCTTTCTACTAAAAAAGTATTTTGTGTTATTGAGAAACTGAATCAGAAAAGTGGGTCTTGGTTAAAAAAATAACTCATAATGTGCACGGCGTATAGCTTTTAGAGTTTCTCACGTTCGCTATCTATTTATTTAGAATAAATTATCTGATAAAACGAGAATAACACAAAGAAACTTTATTTGCGCCAAAATGCAACCAAAGATCAAAAAATGTGCAACCTCCAATTGGAACTCAACAAATGTGACTAGAATTGTACATTATGTAAGATGGTTAAAACATTGTTTTCCAAAAACCGTTGACAAAGTTGTGACAAAAAAATGGTAAAACTGATAAATCCTAATTTCGGAGTAATGTAGTATATAAAATATCAATTATACTGACTAACCTCATTGTACCTTAAACTGAATTCAATATATATGTAGGCGCACAATTAATAAAATAATTTTCAATTTCCACTCTTTAACCAAAGACAAATCTTCAATAAAAAAACATCACATTAACTGAGATCAACTTACCAAATGAAGTGTCGCTGTCGCTTTCCCCAAACGTAGTGGCTTGAGGAACATCTGCCCGTTCTTCAGCTATTTCTGATCCTAGACCAGAATCAGAGCCGTCTGACCGATCTTGCGGCTCCCCTGTAAGTTCTTCAGTGGCTGGCAAACTTTCCGTAATGGAATCTTCTTCGTCGTTCAGACTAACAATTTCTTCTTTCTGAATGGCGTTCTCAGTGACCGTTCCATCGTTTGACTCTTTCGGAACATCCATTGTCACAGTTTTTAATCTCGATGACTCCTGAATTGATCTCACTTCTTTTCCTTCAGCTGTACTACTAGATTCTGAAGCTCCCATTTTGCCAAGTTGATTTTTTGTGTAGCTTTCTGTAGGCCATTTTGATCTTAAAATAAGAATAAAATATTATTAAACGTCTAGGGAATGGTGATAAATTATTTTGCTGTTTAATAAAATATTTTCGCTTTCCAAATCTGTATTTTTAATTGTATTTTAGATATGAATAATAGAAAACAACGAAACAAGTGTTTATCTAAAAAATATTTAAATCTGCAATTGCCGACAGGAACATTATATCTGATGACTTTTTGCAAACCAAAACAACGGTTTTAAAACAAATAAAGTGAAATTTGCGTTTAAATTGACTAAACACTTATAACTAAACTATGAATTTAATTAATGACTCCACCGTGCTTTCATCAAAGTCGCAGTTTTCTAGTTGGAAAATAATGATACTGAATAATTTATCTGTGCAATTGTTGTACGTAAACACATACTGGATCGCATTTTATAAAACTCACATCGCTTGTATGGCTGAATACTAATGTTCCTTAATTGCAAGCAGACCTATTTGTTCAGAAACTGATGGTTTATTTTGAATTTCAACTGTTCCTGTTAACTTGAACCTAAAGTAAACTAGGAAAATATCTAGTCATGTTTTTCATGTAATAAAGTTCAAAGATCGTATGTTTTAAATTGTTTTAATGGTTTTTCAAATTTAAATTTTCAAAAATTGTTTACCTGTAAACTGTAAAATGAGGAAACTAAACATGAAAGGAAATTGCCGGCAATATGTGCAAATTAAAAAAAAATACCGGCAATATGTGTCCAAAACAAGTCATATAAATGCTACACCTTATAAAACAATGACTAACCATGATTTAGTTGCAACGCGTCGAGCTTTAATTGGTTCAATTGCTCCATGGATTATTCAGGTTCTTACCGCAACAAAGACGTTATATTTTGGACTTGACTAGATGCTACAACTTTGAGTAAAAGAGAAATGAGAAATTTGGATTAAAAAAAAATTAAGACAGAAAAGTATTTCCACTAAAATAAAACATCCTACAACAGAAATAAACATACCGCACGTTCTTATAAAGTAATTAATATATAAACTTTTCAATTAAATATRAAGTTGGGAACAATGCACAAAATATATCGATACCAACAGACTTGATAAGGAGCCGACGAAGAATCTGGAAAACCTCAGTGATAAATCAAAGTCAGAGTCAGATAATAAATSAAAGATATAGCAGCAAAAACTAAATATATAAAAAGAAAGGGGATTTTTTACCAAAAACATCCGACGAATAGAAGACTGATAAAAGGATTTCCGAAYTGAAAAAATCTGTGAACATTCCTACAAAAATCGAAATGTGTCAGGATACAAAATCGCACATTCAAACCCTGYCTTCTACTCGAAGAAATAGACAAACCAGGGCAATTAAGCGAACAATTATGTTTCCKAATGTTGTTTCTGATTGTCTGATTTATTTCTGCACATTCGATSGAATTTAATGTTTCYTTTATTKTCATGTACTAGACGTTTTCGCTCTTTYATAAGAGTTTTAGYTTTTTCTGTAATATAACTTCACAAACTYGCYATTTATTACTACTTTTGTTCWCATCTGTTSTAAAACTATTCAGAACTCTAACATCTTTTATCATTGACTTTTCTGATGGCGGACAAACCAAACATAAAAAAGCATTTTGCTTCACTCCAATGGTGATATCGGTCTTGGAAAGTCTAATTTTGATCACTCATATTGAGCAACTTTTGCAGAAAGTATACAAAATTTGTAAGAACTCAGTAAGCAACCAAAGAATATGCATTTCAAAAAGCCAAACGTGAGATTTCCAGTAATTTTTAAGATTTCGAGAAATTGTTGCATGAACCTGATAAATATTAATTTTTTTTTTCAAGTAGAATCATTCCTTAATTGTTTTCTCATTATTTCGAAACATTCCAGTATTTATATGAACCTTCTGTCTTATTTTGAGTGGTAGAATATGCAGTTAAAACTATGCAGCTTAATTACCAGTCACCCTGTATATGAAAGGTGTAGAACAGGACTCTAATTGAAAAAAGCAAAAGTCGTTCTCCAAACTCGGCAGTTGGTCAAAAAAAGTAAATCAATTTGCCTTCGTCATGAATAAAAAAGTTGCCATATAAATACAGCTTAGGCTGTTGGTTATTGCGATAATAAAACTGAACAACTTGAAAACTTTTTCAGTACATGTAAAATAACGCCTAACGATATTCCCGCAGCAATGTGCGAAACAAAATACTTATTTCTTACAATTTAGTGTTTCTAAGCGCCCAATTGATGGAAACAAATATAACAATTTTAATTCAATCCAACCTATGAAAACTGGTCATAAATTAAGAAACATCGAAATATATTAATAATGGTAATTTCGTGGCATTATCAGATTTTTCAAACTGGAAATTACATGTAAAGGGTGAAATTATTTAGATATAATTTTCCATTGAACGTTCTTGTTAGTTAACATAATAGCAATAAACCTAACCGGCCTAGCAGGTTATATAACGGTTCTCAATATGCAATTTAATCAATTGTGGACTGATTTACTAACTGTTGTTAATTTTTTCTTGCACAATGTTGCAATTTAGTGGGGCAATGCCAGTTTATCAACAAATCATGCTTTGAAATATCACAGCAGACACTGCAATAGATGGATTTTGCTATTTTTATAGAACATTGCTTGCACTCGGAAAATGAGGAAAAGAGCCCACACACGTAGACAAATTAGGTCTACACAGTTGTTTCCGGAGATGATGCCTCAAATAAGGCTAAATTTTGCATAATCGGATTGAAATGCGTGCTAGACTGTGTACAGGAACTAAAGGGTCTGGCCAGAATAACATTTGGCCAAAATCTGTCTGGCCAAAAAAAAAAAAGGTCTGGCCAAAAATTATTATAATTCSTTTACTTAGTAATATCAGCTTTTTTACTGATATTAATTTTAATTGTGTATATTTTCCTGACTGTATTTCATCTTAATTCAAAAGAAATTCCTGGGTTCCAGTCTATTTTATTGTTTATCATTTAAAATGTTACAAATACGTTTCGGTGTTTTTCTTCACCGTCATCAGTTTGTCTAAAATATACATTCACAGTCGTCATTAGTTTAAAACAAGAGCTCTGTTAAAATATACATACTAAAATACAAATTACAAACATATTAAAAAGTATATTAAAATCGTTTGAATCTCTTGGGATTACAGGTGATGAGTCAGGACAATAACGTTGGGGAAAAGACTAGAATTTATTGTTTAGAGATTTAAATTTTATTTACATGTATGGCTGTTTCTATCTTCACATTTGTCAAGCCATTGAAAAATCTTGACTTCGTCCAATATCGAGCGAAAGAATAATAAAACTGTTTATAATATTTGGCATTTTTCTTTGCATTCTGAGGATATCACTTGTTCTGCATTTTTTCAATATACCAGGTGTTTATTTTTATGTAGTTGGTTTAATTAGTGTATATAGGTGTTCGTTTAATTAGTGTATGATATATAGAGCTAAGATTGTCTATGTCTGATCTAAAATTCATTGCATTCTGATGTTTTTTAATTTGTATCATTTCATGGATCCTTCTCTTATTATAATTGTCTTCATTAATTAATATTTTTGTGTTATCAAAATCAAAACTATGTAACATTTGTTGCGCATGTTGTGCTAATGCTGTTCCATTTTCGTTAACCTTCCTTAAGCTATATTTATGTTCGTATATTCTTTTCTTTAAATATTGTCCTGTTTGACCTATGTATGCGCTGTCACAGTTCAAACAGTCAATCTTGTATATTACATTAGCTGTGTTTAACTTATCACTTTTAGACTTAAATTTTGTGAAACATTCTCTTGCTAAGTTGTTTTTAGTTTTTCTGCTATAGTGATATTATGCGGTTTTAAACCGTTTTTTATTTTTGTGTTAATTTCTGGAATATATGGTAATGATATATACTTGATTTCACCTTCTTTTTTCTTATTATTATTATTTATGTTGTTCCATTTATTGGAATTGTAGATTTTATTTATTCTTCATTTTATGATTGGTTCGAAGAATTATTTGAGATAGTTGTTCATTATTAGTATCTAATATAGGAACAACCATACATGAAAATAAAATTTAAATATCTAAGCAATAAATTCTGATCTTTTCCCGAACATGATTGTCCTGACTCATCACCTGTAATCCCAAAAGATTCAAACGATTTTAATATACTTTTTAATATGTTTGTAATTTGTATTTGAATATGTATATTTAACAGAGCTCTTCTTTTAAACTAATAACGAATGTGAATGTATACAGGGTGATTCAAAATTGGCGTCATACCTCTGGAGGTGTTGTCTGG